GCTATCCATTTTTTCAGGTTGAATCTATGTTTCGAGCACTGGTCATCTAAATGGAGTTTCTACGTTTTCTCTGTACTGGTGATCGTATGTTCGACCTAATGCCTATCTAGGGTCTTGGGCGGACCTGGCATAGGTTATGCTGGACATCGACAAGTGTTCTTTAGCACACCTTAAATAAAACAGTTTTGCTAAAGCACATCTAGATGTGCCCTAAGTATTGCACATCTAAGTCCTATATCATTGATTTTATGCGAAGATTCATGCAAGATTTTCGGTTGTCCTTTTCTTTTCCTTTTTAGTTTGATTGAGTCACTTAGATGTGCAATAACTCTAGACAGACCCGAAAGAAAATCAAGTTTGATACAAGAACGGTTTTCTTTAAAAATCTGTTCATTTGTGGCTACAAAGCTTAAGAAGGTTGACTGAAGGTACTCAAAGGATCTGAACCTGAAACTCTGATTATTTTTTTTTGCTCGGCAATCATTGTGCACTACAAATGAAATATATTCAAGTTCAGCTAGAACTTATTTGAAGGAAATGATGTATTATCTTGGTAGGTAGGGAACGTATATAGATGATGATAGATGTGTTGGTATTCAGCGTTTGGGTGTCGTGCTAATGATGCCACTCTCCATGGTACTTCCACTGTACTTTAATATATTATATGCTGACGTTTGGTTGGGTTTTCTAAATTTGTATGGGGTTATTTCTGATCTATATGAGATTTATTTGGACATGCCTTCTATTCACAAATAAGGGCCACTGATCGCTAGCAGTTCTATTTAACTCCGCTAATTAATTTCTATGTCAATATTGGCCTGCAACTTGGCAACAAATGGCAGAAATGACACAACTATGAGGACGCTATGTTATCCTCCCTGCTTTCTGTTATCCTCCCTGCTTTCTGTCTAGGGTGTCTGAGCAGTTTCCCACAACCCTAAGCTTTACATGGTATCAGTTTAGGTTTACGATCAATGTCATCCGCTCTGTCCCGGTCGCCGCCGCTCAGGCCGTCGCCACTCCGTTTTTGTCGTCTCGCCCGCTGGGCTCCGTGGCTGGCGCCTCCACGGCCGCTGCCGCCGCTCCCCTGCATGGCCCGCCGTCGCCGATCTCCTACGACGCCGGGGCTCCGTTCCCGCCTACTGGCTACGCCTCAGGACCACCGCTGGCCTACACGGCTCCCGCGGCCAACCATTGGCTAGGGTTTCTAGACGCGCCACTGGCGCCCTACGGCCCTCCAGCACCGTCACCGGCCCACGGCGCCTCTGCCCCGTCGGCGTACGCGGCCTACCCGCCGTACGCCTCTGCCCCGTCGGCGTACGCGGCCTACCTGACGGCCACGGCACCCACGCCTCCTCATGGCGCGCCTTCTTCATACGATGCGCCCTACGGTGGTCCATTGACGGAGTTGGTGGCTTCTTTCGTGCTGCCGGGTGTTACCTCGCCCTCGGGGTTTTACACGCCACCGCCGCCTTCGAATCATGTTGTGCCTCCTGCGTTGTTTTACTTTGCGCACCTCATCCCGATGAAGCTCACGACGGATAACTACCTGTCGTGGCATGCTCAAGTACTGCCGCTTCTTCGCAGTCGCTATTTGGAGGGTTATGTTGATGGGTTGTGCCCTTCGCCGTATCATCCAGCGTATCATGCTTGGGTGGCCCGGGATCAAGCCATCCTCTCTGCTATCCAGTCCTCTCTCACGGAGGGAGTCTCGTCACTGGTCATCTTCGCCGCTACGTCTCGGGACGCGTGAACAACCCTTCATATCAGTTCTGCTTCGCAGTCCCAGGCACGTGCTCATGCTATTCGCACTGCGCTTGGGGAGGTAAAGCTTAATGACCTCACCGTCACTGACTACTTCAACAAGGTGACGGGTATGGCTGACACACTTGCCTCCATTCGCAAGGCTCTTGGTTCGGAGGAGTTCACCTCTTATGTGCTTAATAGACTGGGTGACGATTATGATAATTTGGTCGAGAATATCAATAGTCATGACATCCCATCCATCCACATGAGTTGTACGCGCATCTTCTTGCCACAGAACAGCGCATCCAGGCTCGCAGCTCTATGCCGAGTTTCCCTTCCGCCAACGCTGCAGCGCGTGGCAAGGGCAAGCCCTACAAGCCACCAACTGGTGGCAAACCTCTGCCGACCGCGCCCAACCCGCGGAACTCCACTACTTCCGCGAACGGCAAAGTCCGTGCCTGCTGTCCTTCATGTGGTGCTCAAGTCCCCTGCCAGCTATGTGGTCTTGATGGCCACCTTGCTTCCCATTGCCATTTTCGCTTCAAGCAGGATTTTTTGGGGGATCGGAACCAATGGCAAGGGTAATGAGAAGCAGGCTGCTCTGGCGAGTCATGAGCAGACATACTCCTTCCTATCCAGTTGATGCGTCATGGTACATGGATACAAGAGCTACCAATCACCTGACGAGTGAGATGGGCAAGCTCTCTACACAGGAGCTGTACCATGGACATGATCAGGTTTGCACTGCTAATGGAGAAGGTATGCACATCTCACATATTGGTCAGGCATCCCTTCTTACTCGTCGATCCAAACAATTATGTCTCCTAATGTCCTTTGAGTTCCCTCTGTTTCACGTAGTTTGTTGTCAGTTCCTAAACTTACTCGTGATAATGATGTTTTTGCTGAGTTTCATCCGTTTCATGTTTTTGTTGAGGACCGGGACACGAGGAACGTACTTCTTAGAGGTTGACTACACCATGGTCTTTATGCATGCCACCGTCTCCTTGTGCTTTCAGCGGTGTTCGTGTGTCTTCGTCGCATTGGCATGTGTGCCTTGGTCATCCTGCCACTCCCATTGTCAGCCATGTCATCAGCTTCCAGTTGTGTCCAATAAAAATGCTACTACAATTTGCGATGCCTGTCAGCAAGGCAAGAGTCATCAGCTTCCTTTTTCTGAGTCGGGTCGTATAGTCAACAAACCGCTTGAACTTGTGTTTTCGGATGTATGGGGCCATGCCCAAACCTCTGTTAGTGGTCATAATTACTATGTCAGTTTTATTGATGCTTACAGTCGGTTCACTTGGCTTTATCTTCTCAAGCGCAAGTCTGATGGGTTTAATGTTTCCTTGCAATTCCAAGTGCATGTTAAGCGTCTGCTCAGTCACAAAATCATTCATGTGC